ATTTTGCAGTTCTTCTATGGAGAAGATAGTTTAATCTTAAATAGACAGAGGAGTCTCTCTTGCCAGGGCTTTTATCTGTGTCTTGTGTAGGAAAAATTAGCTCCTAGGATTTAAGAAAGAAATAAACCACCACCACTCTGACATCCCTTCAGATCTTAAAAGAAAGACCTACATTTTTATACACTAGAAAGGTTTCTGTGTAACCTGCAGGGTATTGCTGCCCTTTAGAAGGGCTGTGCTTTTGAAAGTAACTTCCAAAGGAATAGAAGTTTTGCTTTTGTCATCTTACATGGATTAAACGTTCCCCTGCTTCCTTAGATCAATTTACAGATACTTGCTTTTTGCTCCTGTTTTGTGCTTAGCTTCTAGTCACTATTTTTAAGTTGTGGAAAAAAGTTTGAGACCAAAACGCTGCTGTACTATTACACTTTCCTGAAGCGCAGGTCTGTAGAACTTAGCCTTACCCTTAGATGTCACATCAACTTTGAGTGCACATTTGTGGTTTCATTAAATATTAAGTCTAATGGAATCAGCTGCTTTAGGTTACTGGTTTGCAAAGTCAAAGCTTTAGCTTCATTCCCGTGACATCATTACAGCACTGTGCCTACTTGACCTTAAAGGCAGACACACATGGACACATTAAATGTCAAACTATTACTGACTACATAATTTTCAAAGTATCTACTCTTCTGAAATCACCAGGACATAGAATTCCTTAATTACTTGTGACATAGATAGTGTTTACCAGACAAAAAAAAAAACAACATAAACAATCCACTTTAGAACCTTGATAAACTACCATTGCATGGGTTTTCATACTATGAAAGCATGTAAGTCAGAAGACAAAGACCATACTCTTCTGCCTCAAAGGCAGAACTATTTGATTGCATAGTAAAATGAAGAAGGAAAACAAAGGATTAATAAATTCTGTAATGAAGTAAAAATCATGCGAAGAGGTAGTTGATATGGCTTCTCCTTTTTTGGTGTCATCTTTGCAACTATAATTAGCAAAAAATATTAGGAAGTTAGGGAGGCACTGCTTTTCAGTATCTTGGGAGCAACAGAAGAGTATTTCAGGGAAAGCCATAGTCGAGGTTATGAGAACAGTCATGTGCCTACAACAGAATTACCGTATTAAGGCTACTGTTACTAAACTTGGGAATCTTGGAAAGTATATATTTTAGCAAATAAATTTTGTTTCCCAAAATTTTGTAGATAATATACTGAAGTTACATAAATCAGATAATCTAGAATAAAAAACCCTCACAGGTATGAAGATGTTAAACATTTTTATCACTGCAATTATTTATGGCCTGTATACGTGATCATAAGTGGTATTTTTCAGGTTGCCAAAACTGGATAGTCTCTACTTCACTAATTGATGACAAACTACACTGAAATATTTTATATGGATTTATTTCATTATTCCAGCTCATTCCTCAATGGATTTTATGTATTTCTCATAGG